CATTTTAATGACTTAAGTCATTTTCAAAACGATTTGTGATTTAAATCTTTATTCGGAAATACAAAAAGAATTGAGTCATTAAAAATAGGCTTAAATTTTTTAAAAGATTTTTTTTAAAAGTCTTTTTTGGAAAAGACCTTAGTCATTAAAAATTAAATGATGTTTGGACTTAAGTCTTTTAATATATTATTATTAAATAACTTTCGACTTAAGTCTTTTTATAAAAGACTTAAGTCAGTCTTATATATTTTCATAATATTTTTTTAACAGCAGCATTTTTCTTTAGCATAACTGTTCAGCGTCAAATAAAAAAAAACACTCAATCTCAATACCACTAGCAAATAAAAAGTTACTTTTCCGAAATCGATTTTGATTATATTTATTTGTCGTGTTACGCATGCGTAGTGAGTCGGTTATCTTTCATGTGAATCAAGTGAATCTCGGAGCGGTATTTTTTTGTAACGTCGTGTCGCGCTCCACAACGAATCAGGAACCTGTTACTGAAGAACGACGATCATAATGAGGACAAAATTATAAATTATTTATATTTTGCAAATAAATTGTTTATAATCGCACTTGAAGTTAGCTCGAACCGTAATAACCGCATAGCGACGTGTTTAGCTCCAGCCGTCGTGATTTCGTCGGTCGCCAACAGTAGTATCTGGAACTGGTATGTATGTAGCGCCGCGCGATCTTGATCGGGACGTGTTCGCTCCAGCCGTCGCGCTCCTAGAGTTGTAGTTTCCTGTCGCGAACATAAGTAACTGCTGTAACTGGGCATCGACGCTCGACCTCGGCGGCGACCTACTTCGCTCCAGCCGTCGCGCTCCTAGAGTTTTAGTTCCCTGTCGCGAACAGAAGTAACTGCTGTAACTGATTATCGACGCTCGACCTCGGCGGCTACGTACTTCGTTCCAGCAGTCGCTGGAGCGCTTCTAGGGTTTCGGTTTTGCCTGTCGCGATTTGGTCGGTTACTATTGTGCTCCCGTCGCCGTCGCTAAGTTACTTTCGAAATAGCGATTTTTGGTATGTACTAGGCATGGTATAAAATAGTGTTGTTTGAAAGATGAAACGCAAAAGCAAATAAAATAAAAATATTTTATTTGCTTTTATACATTTATATAAGTTTTATTGTTTATATCTACAGGGTGAGTTTCCTACGATGTTCTCTATGGGTATCTCGGAAACTACTGGAGATAGAGAGTCGGTTAAATGGGGAAAGAATTGCAGTTTTGTGGGGTCATAAATATGCGCTTTTCAGATTCTTGAAAAAGTTCATGGCTTACTAGATATTTCGAAAAAACAAATTTCGGCAATTTTAAAAATTGTTCCTAATTCCATTATAAGCTATTTTAGACAAAAAGTTTTCAGATAAAAGTTGTAGATAATCATATCTTTTATGAGAATGTGCCCTCTGTTTTCTTCTAAAGCCTGTCATTTTTGACATATGACACAAACATCTGTTTTTTTAAATGGAAACCATAGTTGGTCATTACTTCATAAAAAGCGCCATTTTTTAAGCTTTTCAGCGATATAAGCTATAATATGTTTTCTTCGAAAAATTACTGAGTTATATGCAATTCTTATCATTTTTAAACAATTTCACTTAGTTAGCCATGGAAACAAGTTTAATCACCTTTGTTCTCAGAAATGTGAAGCTGTCACATCCAAACTTCGTAAATTAAAATAAGCAAAAATTGTAAATATGAATTTTTCAAATGAAGAAAAGCGTGTAGGATTATTGGTTCAACTTTTCTTGACCATGATGAACTTTTCTGGTGAATGTTACGTTGTTTAGAGAACGGTTTTCAAGACATGTTAGGAAAGTTAAATTTAGTTATAGCCAATTCTTATCTTTTTTGACTAATTTCAATTAGATTGCATGGTATTCTTATTCTGTTATGATTTATAACTTATAAAAAGTCACAATATATTACTAAACGGTTCCTTACAATTTACATTGAACAAACTAAAACTTAAAAAAAATAATTCCACTGCATACACTTTAAGTTATTTTAGAAAATGTTCCGCCATTGTTTTGAGTTGTATCTTTTTAAAACTGAATTACTACCTATTCTCATAAAAGGACCGGTCGACTTAATTAAACTTCTCTAGTACCGCCACTCGAGAGCAACGACGATTGAACTTGTTTCCATGGCTAACTAAGTGAAGTTGTTTAAAAATGATAAGAATTGGCTATAACTCAGTAATTTTTCGAAGAAAACATATTATAGCTTATATCGCTAAAAAGCTTAAAAAATGGCGCTTTTTATGAAGTCATGGCCAACTATGGTTTCCATTTAAAAAAACATATGTTTGTGTCATATGTCAAAAATGACAGGCTATAGAAGAAAACGGAGGACACGGTCTCATAAAGAATGCGATTATCTACAACTTTTATCTGAAAACTTTTTGTCTATAATAGCTTATAATGGAATTAGGGACAATTCTTAAAATAGCCGAAATTTGTTTTTTTCGAAATATCTATCGAACTTTTTCAAAAATTTTAAAGGCGCATATTTATGACTCCACAAAACTGCAATTCTTTCCCCATTTAACCGACTCTCTATCTCCAGTAGTTTCCGAGATAGCCATAGAGAACATCGGAGGAAACTCACCCTGTATTTTAAAGTTTAGGTTAGACCAATAAACAATTTTTTTTGACAGTGGTTTGGACTTTGTTCTTGATTTTAACATTAAATATATTATATTGCAATACACATAAATATGAGCCGTTCATTTTATTTTAACGAATATTGATAAGAAAAAAGATAACAAGGAATGTCATACGTCTTTCTAAAAATGAGATAGATTGGCTATACACAATTATAAACTCGATATTTGGAAAATGAGTGGCGGATAAAAGTTACATTAATCTACAAATATAGATAAGTTAGATATATTTTTAGCGAAGACTGCAATACTTTGGAAGTCGGAACCTCGGTTACAAAATCGCGGTATTTTGTCGCGGTATTTTTCTGGAACGGTCGCTATTGTAACGCGACTCACGTGGAACCGGTATTCCCATCGCTAATTTGATGGCATCTAAACTATAATGGATATATAATAGAAAAAGTACAAAATCAGTTAAATTTTATAAAAAAAACTATTTTTATGTTTGTAGTTAGTCTGAAAATTAACCGTTTTATTTTATGTGGTTTTAGTTTCATTACAACAAATTAATTATACAGGGTGCCCCAGAAATAAGTGCAAGTATTTTAACTGGTAGTATATTGCGGCCTCAGAAACACGCCTTTTTTTTGAAAATTTGATTTTTTTTAAACATTTGGAATTTTTTTTTAGTTTTAAGTTAAAAAGCATAATTTCTTGATAATACGGCAACATAGGTAATAGCTTAAATTTACATGAATATCCAGAAAAGATCCAGTGGTTCTCAAAATTTTAGCAAAAAATGATTTTTTTTGGAAATTTTGAAAGTAAAATAACTCGGTTATTTTGGACTTGTTTGAAAAACGGTAAAGAGAAAAAATGTTTCTTTTGACCAGATCTACCACCGCTTAAAATACTAATTTAAAATACCCTTATTTCTGGGACACCCTGTATAGGTAGTAAGCAAATCGACCAATCGGTAATACAAGAAACTTATTAAGATAAAAAGAAAATATTAATGTTTAAAAAATAGGTACCTATATACTTAAATTGAATTCTGGCTATCTTGACTTGACGGTAATTATTTTGATTTAAGTCATTTTGCCGACTTAACTCGCAGATCATCATGATTTAAATAAAAAATAGAGACTTCAGTCGTGAAAACGACTTAAATTACATTATACTGATTTATGAAAAAAAAAATGGCTGTGAAATTGATTTAAGATTTAACTCTTTTGGTTTTACATAAGACTTTAGATTTAAGTCTTTTTGAAATTGACTTGTTGCAACTCTGTCACAAGGATCGTGTTGCTAACTCGAACAGAATATACATATTCAAACTTTAATTCTTTTTTCAATTTTAAATTTCTCAATTTTCACATTAAAATTTTAATTCTTAGAAAAATAACGTACGTTCTAATTATTCCATAGATCAAGAATACTTGATAAATACCTGAGTATTATCCATGTATTATCAATGAATTTGACATTTTGTTCTATGGAAGTAATCCGCTTAAAGCTCTAGAAACTTGGCAAAACAAAAACAGTATTAGATGTAGCCTTTCTAAGACTGAAAAGAGAATAAAGCAGAAAGGTAAACTATGTCTGAGCTAAAACGAACCGTATCCTTAAAATGATCTATGTCGTAAAGAAAATAGAGGTGCCGGTTTTATTACAGGGGCGTAACGAATAAAAGACAAAACGCACCGGACAGCGAAGTGTCCGGTCCCCGGAAGCTTTTCGTTGTCCCCGGATTTGAAGTGTCCCTAGGGCCGCACGACTCATTAGTTTAGCTGGGATGGCACGTCCGGTGCTCATAAAACCGGACAATTCGCGGCCACTATGTCAGCATTCTGTCGAAAAGCACCTATCGAGTTCGTGACGTGGCCAATTTGACTGTGGTCATTCTTTTATTTAGATTGACTTTTTTCTTCTCCCTCAAGAACCCTATTCTTGCTGAAACATTAATCACATTAATCAAAAAAATAGTTTTGAAAAAATGCACTTCATACTGAAACACTTCTTGCTTCTGTTATACAGGGAGAGTCTTAAATCAGTGCAAATATTTTCAGGGCTGGTAGACATATTGTCGCTTTAGCGTTTTTCAAAACAATCCAGTTATTTTACTTTGAAAATTTAAAAAAAAAATTCTGCTTAAATTTTAAGAACCCCTGGATCTTGTCTGGGTTTTCTTTCTTCTAAATTTAACTATTACCAAATTTAACCCATATTATCAAGAACCTAAAAACCAAAAAAAATCCAAAAAATTCCAAATTTTCATTCGTCGAAATATACTACCCCTAAAAATATTTGCACTTATTTAAAACGCACCCTGTATTTTTATACGAGCCAAAACAGAAATCTAACATACTCCTTCTCGTTGTTTACAGTATTTTGGAATTGAGGAAAGAGAAAAGCAGAGATGCGGCTAGATCAAGGAGAGGAAAAGAAAATTTTGAGTTCTATGAACTCGCTAAGATGTTGCCATTGCCGGCAGCTATCACCTCACAGTTGGACAAAGCTAGTATTATAAGACTTACGATCTCATATCTTAAGTTAAGAGATTTTTCTGGTCATGGGGATCCACCGTGGAGTAGGGATGGACCACCCCCATCAAAGACTTTAAAAGGTAAGAGTATGGAGTTCTTTAAAACCAATATAAAACATCTAATCTATATAATCTTACTAACTAGTATATACCCGGAGTTTATCACAAAGTCATCATCATTAAAAATCGTTCAAAAACAAGAGTTAGTTTTTATATAATTTTAGTTTATTAACTAAATAATAAACTTATAAAATTTTGATTGTGTTGACTGTTTTTTCGAAAAGCTCTAAAAACGTCAAAATACTAAATATTGGATTTTTTTTTACTTTATTTCCTATAGACAAGGATAAAAGTATTGTATTTAAGTAATTAAAATAGTCGGGACAAGAAAATATAAGACTTTTGTAGGAAAGGAATAAAGATAAAAATATGGAGAGAAATAATTTTCGACTCAGCAGCCAAGTTTTGGCTGCGAAAAGTAAATCCCAGAACATCTGCGGTTGCTGAAAGGTCCAGAGTAATCGAATTACCTTCGGAACAAAAGAAATACTGACCGCTGACCGTAGGCTATTGTTTAGCGAACCTCTGGCCGCTTGATTTCTGTCAAGCCTCCAGTCAAACGAATCGAGGGTAAATAACATTAAGTATGACTCTCATATAGGTATTTTTATTTTATTTACTATATCACAGTTATAAATGTTTGTTTTTAATGTATTCGGTTGAATTAAATAAACAAGATTCGATAAAGTTGAGCTTTTCCGAGGCGGAACTTTTAAATAAGCTCCAATCAGACAGTGGGGAAGTTTAAAACTGGATTAGAGCAATTCGCGGGGCTGATTTTCATTTAAATATTGAAACAAAACCGCCTCTAAGCCCCTAGATCAATGTCAATTCATTAGCGGAGGTTTGCACAGGCCCGGTTTAATTTTACATAATTATTTCAATTAGGAATCTTTTCGTCCCTTGCCACATCGAGTTCGCTTAGACCTCGCCAGCCACAAGTACGAGAATTAAGGAAGTGAATTTTCCCAGTTTGGTTTACAATAAGCAACGGCTAATTTTATCACTTGTGTCGGGGAATGGAGAATTGGATTTGCGAGTTTAACATGGGGGACTGATGATTCGATTTACATGTTGTAGTTCTGCGGCACGCAGTTAGCTCGAGGGGATGACACATTTTCAATCACTACACACAAAGTACAGACAGCGACATGTGTGAACACTAAATATATATGTTATAATTCAAACCATAAAAAATACCTAAATCAGCCAATTGCAAACTATTGTAGAAAAAATATCAGTAATAAAAATCGTTCAAAAATACAGAGGTTCGAAAAGTCAATTTTCTTACAAAACCAAAACATTTAAGATTTTAAAAGTTTTAGTTTCCTAAAAATACAAGTTTTCAGCAAATCCCAAAATTTTCCAAAAGGGTAAAGGTGTGGATCCGGTGGCTGACCTTGAAGCCTGTATTTGCTGCATTTGATCATCGATACTACGCAAGCGCACATCGTCGATGTTGCCAAATGGCAGTTTATTTTCGAATTATTTACAGTAGAAAACAAATGATTTTTTGAGTGTTATTCAGTAATAATACAAATTCTATAATTCATTTTATAATTTCAGATTTATCTTGAACAAAACTTAAGGTAAGAAGGATAATGGAGATTGTGAAGTTAAGGTATTATGATTGTAATCGGAGTTGTAAGTAATATAATATTGTAATGTTTATATATTTACAATAGATTTAAAAATTATCATTTACGGATTTTTTCCTATTGGTTTTAAACCTATTAGATTTTTTTTGTATTATCAATATGACACATTTATTACATCCAAGTTGTTGATTAGGTATATCAATTATATGTATTGAAGTACTATACCGCATGACGAGTTTTATAGCACAAGTCGATGAAATAGAGGTAACATTTTACCTAGTTTGATTGTAGTGTGTTTGTATCATATTTTTTTAAAAATATCAAGTTAGTGGGTTAATAGCAATTGCTTAGGCACATATTTTATCGAAAAATGCTGATAGGATTAAAATAAGCTTTATGTTTTCACTTTTTCTCTTTAGAAGGGATATGGATATATATATATATATATATATATATATATATATATATATATATATATATATATATAGGATATCCTGTACTGTGATATTCTTTTCTTAATTTACTTAATTTCTTGTTTCCTGTAATGCCAAAATTAAAATTATTATTTATTATCTTGATAATATGGTGAAGGTTTATTTTTGATCTCATTAAATTTATACACATACCAACTTAAGCAAAACTTAAGTTAGTTTGTGATTTATATTAAGATATTTCTAATAATTTTTTTATGTCTTAATACAACGCACATTATGCTTTATGGTGTGGAGAATAAATGTTAAGATATCTTAATACTTACATTACTCCTTCCATTACGAAAAATATTATTTATAAATCATGTATGCTAAGAAAATCACATAAATTAGGTGTAAGAATAGAAAAATCTTAAGGTAGCAGAAAAATTAATGCAATATATGTATAAGCAGAATTAAACAAGGTACCTCTATTTAATGTTGCTGATTCTACAGTTATAGTTAATAGTTACCGAAGCTAAAAGGCCTTTTTAAGGCCTACGTACAATGGAATGATATAAAACCTTTTATGAACATGATATGGAGTTACAGCATTTAAAAATTTTAAAAAAGAAGAAACACACCCCTTTTAATTTAACGAATTTTTAACAAAGCAATTTTTAAATGTAGCATAATCTAGAATAATTAGATTAATTATAGCAATCTAGAGTTTTATTTCTATTTAATTTTATTGGCTATAAAAATACATAATAATCATTCACGTGTTGTGCAAAATATTAAAATAATAATATAAATAATAGATACAATTGACAGCACTGAAAAAAACATTATTTGTTTTCTACTGAAAATAATTCCAAAATAACCTGCAATCTGGCAACATTGACGATGTGCGCATGCGTAGTATCTGTGACTATATGCAGCAAAAGCGCGTTTCAAGGTCAGCCACCGGATCCACATCTTTACCTCCAAAAGTTATACCCACGTTTACTATTTTAATTATTTTTTTAACATATTAAATAATTAAAACGTATTGAACAGAAAATTATAAGCCTTTTGGCTTTACTGATACGGTAATAGATGTAGACGAACTTCTAACCATAATCATAAATCGTTTAACAATTAAGGGTTCCAAAAAGCGATTTTTTACGAAATCAAAATAATTAACGCCTTTAGAGATTTATATATCCTAAAAGTACATCAAACTTCTTATAAATTTTGATATTTTTGAAATTTTATAGCTAATTTTATTATTTTTCTACGAGATGAAGAATGTAAAATGTAAAAGAACACTTACTACAGAGCGCTGATATTTCACTTATGATAAAATTTCAAAATAAATATATACAAACGTACTTACATGCTTAACAGGTTAAGAAAAAGCTTCTCTACTAGTTACTTCCAGAAAAACACTGCACTATCACTTTTTTCCGTGAGAAAAAAAACTACTGGAAAATATACAAAAAATCTCTGCAAAAAATTAATAATTTGATTTTGATTTTTGACATCTTGACACCACAGAGTAAAAAGCGAGCAGCTACTTAAACTCTTAAGCATGGTTCACACAAAATTTTATTTAAAATTTGTGTTTTTAATGTTTTATTGAAAATATCGTACAAACTTTATTTATTTTAAGTCCCAAAATTACTTATTAGTACAGTATTAGATTTAGGCGACCTTTAACTATTGTTATATATAGATACCCAACACTGCACACAAGCAAGGCTTTAAAAAATAACTTTTTTTACAGAACGAAATAAAGCTAATTGTTTTAGTTTTTTAGTTTTTTTTTTAATTTTAATTTTGCAGTTTTAAATTGTTTATATCCCCCCTATTCTTAAAGTTTTATTTTTAATTTTATATATTACTATTTTTACTATATATCTAACACTGAAAAAGTACAGTCAAAAATAGTCATCATATTAACTAATTAAAAGGTGTAGAATACAAAGATATTTAATCATTAAATTGTTTATAACTCTTAAAAACAGACAAAACTTACTTTAACACATATTATTTTTCTAAAAACTCAAAAATTGGTTTCATATACAGGGTGAGTCTTAAATAAGTGCATGTACTTTTAGGGGTAATATATATCGACCCTCCTAGAAATACGATTGTGAGGTTTTTTTCGCAAAAAAAATGAAAATTTACAATATTTTGGAAATATTTTTAGTTAAAAAATATAATTTCGTGATAACATGACAACATTGGTGGCAGATTAAACTTACAAGAAAGAAAACCCAGAAAAGATCCAGTTGTTCTCAAAGTCTAAGAAAAAAAATAATTTTTTTAATGTTCATATATAGTAAAATAACTCGGTTATTTTGGACTTATTTGAAAAACGGTAAAGAGAAAATATGTTTCTTTTATCAAGATCTAGCAGCCCTGAAAATATTTGCACTTATTTAAGACTCACCCTGTGTATAGGCTTTAAAAATTACAACTAATTTTCGTATTTAAAAATGCACAGAGGCGTAAAAAAATAAAAATGCATATGTATTAATAAAAATAGTGCTATTAGAAAGTACTCATTTAACCTACATTTGGTACATTTTCGTACCAATCCACGTATTTTATGACAGGCGTTTTATGGCTGATTCTGAAGGAATCCAATCAATGAATACTAATTTGATATATTTACAGTAGCAAATGAGGTTACGCCAAATACCACTGTCTCAATCTTAATTATTTAAAAAACTTTCTATGAATTTTGATTAGGTCTTGCTTAACATTATTACTATGACGTTATTGTTTGTTGTTCAATTTGTTTTAACATTAAATTATCGATTATTTTGTTATCCTACACACCCCGTATAAACATGAAAATGTTTATTGGTTAATTCTTATGTGTTTTATAAAATAACAAATTATATTGAATGAATCGAGCAATAGTAATCTAGAAAAATACGACGACCTGTATCATATTTGTAAGCACGCAGCGAGATTGGGGTGATAAAAAGTAGGGAGACTGAATTTTGGGCGTCTAACAGTATCTATAAAGCCTGATATCAAGTTGCAATATTTCACCGCTGACATTTTAGCCAATTTGTTACCAGCTCCTAGCAGGTTGCTGCTGAGAAATATCCTGCAGCCTCATATGTTTCTTTATACCAATATGCGAGCGATATTTCACTCGAATTAAGATACCCAACAAGAATAAGTATTTTTCTTGTAACAAGGTTTATTCTTTTATATTTTAGGCAGGCGGTCATCTTTAGCTATGGATATCTTCGAGCAACACCAAGGCACACATATTTTACAGGTAACCGAATAATTTTCTGTAAATTTTATCGTTATTAATAATTTGTTTTGTTCGATTTTTCAGTCTTTGGATGGATTCGCTCTAGCTGTAGCTGCCGATGGCCGATTTTTGTATATTTCAGAGACTGTTTCCATATATTTAGGACTATCACAAGTATGCATTATTTTAAATAATATTAGTAATTTGTAAAAATAATAATAATGAATAATAAATGCCTTACTTTTAAATAGTAAACACTATGGAAAGATACGTCTATATGTCTAGCTGGAGCACGTACATGTTAAATTAGATACGTCAGCAATTACAGTTTTAAAGTATTTTTCATATAATTTCCTACACGTGCCTTTTCTAATCTGACGTATCTCTAAACTAGCTAAAAAACTCAAATAGCTACGTGAGCGTAATTGCCTGATGTATCTTTAGTATAGATACATAATAACGTATAAATAAACCAGGTACGTCGGCAATTGTAGACGTATCTACGCAAAGTTACTCGCATGGGGTAGTCTACATTATCGCCTGACGTATCTAGAAACTAAAGAACTCGTATCCATAAACAAGACATGTCAGCAATTACAGACGTATCTATTAGTGTAGAAACGTCTACTTAATCGCTCGACGTATCTATAAACTAGCTACAAACTCACCTATAAAATAGGTACGTCAGCGTAATCTCCTGATGTATCTCTAGAATATCTATATAATTATATTTTTTTTAATAACGTATAACTAAACCAAGTACGTCGGCAATTATTATAGATGTATCTACGTAAAGTTACTCGCATGGGGTAGTCTACATTATCGCCTGACGTATCTAGAACTAGAAACTAGGCAAAACATATCTATATAAACAAGACTTGTCAGCAATTACATACGTATCTGCTGGAAGTGTCAACAAAATGTTTTTCTCGCGTAGAGACGTCAACTTAAAATCTAGAGATGTCTACGAATCATATAACATGGTAACAACGCATAAATTTACAAATTAGATATGTCAGCGAATACACACGTATCTACTCAAATAATTTCTTACCAGTTTACATGTGCCAGAAATATGTGCCTGTCAGTTAAGTATTTTAACTGGGAGTATAGTTTATCCCCAGAAACACATTTGAAAATTCGGAATTTCTTGATAATATGGCAACATATGTAGTAGATTAAATTTACAAGGAAGAAAATCCAGAAAAGATCCAGTGGTTCTCAAAATTTTAGCAAAAAAAATTTTTTTTTGGAAATTTTCAAAGTAAAATAACTCCGTTATTTTGGACTTATTTGAAAAACGATAAAGAGAAAATATGTTTCTTTTATCGAGATCTACCACTCCTTACTTGCACTTATTTCTGGGACACCCTGTATAGATCATAACTTCAATAAGAGATTGTTTTTTTTAAATAAGCCAGAAAACTAATGTGGTTTAGGAGATCGATAACAGTCTGTTGTAAGGCGGTTGGTAAACAAAACTTACAACTTTTTAAAAGGCGTATGCAGGAATTTCGGGGCCTGCCGTAGCCTAGAGCAGGGCTAAAAGGTGATAACACGTAGGGCTACGTGCCCCTCTGTCCTTTCTGTTCGGGCTAGCGTTTCCCGCAGTTGCAAATACCCTATTGATTACGGCCCGGCAGCGGCATTATAAATGGCGAGCACGCCGCTGCAGAGGACTACGTGAGCGGCATGCCCATCTTCCTGGGGGCGGCTCAAGCCCTGGGTGGTTCTGGACACGTACGCCGGCGCCGCTACCGCCACTGCAATTCATGACGCAAGACCTCTGTCTTGTCGCTCTTTCGCTTTTCAGGATTTTACAACACAATTGTTAAAAAATTAATTTGCCATATTATTACCACATTATTACCATCATCATATTAACATGCATGTGTAGGTATTATCACCTCGCGGTGGCATATTATGTGCTCCGCTGTTGCAGGATCTTTATAGCAGAGTCTGCAGCAAAGACTTCCTTGATACAGGCATAATACAGGTTGAGCTTGTACAGGTAGAATCTATGGCAGGGAGCTTATATCTCTCTTTCTTGAGTTATAACAAATTATAACTCATCATACAGTCTTACACATACATATAGTCTATGACAAATCATACAGTCTTTGACAAAAGCCAGTGTCTGAGACAGCTTCATCACTCTTCTCGGCGAACTCAGTGATGAGGTGTTCTGGGGTTTCCCCATTTTCCCCACAGAATCTACATTCGCCGTTGTTTTTTAGCTTCAATCTACTGAGGTGTTCGTTGAGGAGACAGTGTCCTGTTAAAAATCCCGTGACAATCCGAAGGTCGTAAGTTCTGAGAAATTTCTTCGAGCGTCTTAGACTGTTGGAGGATTCTCATTTCAGGTTATGGATGGAGTTTTCTAGGTTCTTGAGTTCCGCTTTAAGTTGGTTTCAACTTGGGAAGCTGAACGGTTCCGGTCCAGTTAGTGGAGTGTTCGCTCCTTTTCTAGCTTGATCGTTTGCTTTTTCATTGCCTTTTTTGCCAATTGTAAATTTATTGCCAATTTGTTATAAAGGCAGTAATTGTTCAGGTAGAACTTAACAGCCATATGTCCTCTCAAGAGACCTGTTGTAATCCTCAATTTTTATTTTATTCCCACTTACACTAGTAGTTCTTTTGTAGTTTTATAATAAGGTCCTGTCTGTTTCTCCAGTGCTCATTCTGCTTTTCCTTGGCCCAGGGTTTTTCTGCACTACGGGTGATACATTTGGGTATTCCCATCAGTACTTGCTCTAGACCAAGATAGTGTTTGACCCGTCTGTATACATTACCTCGAATATAAAAAGCTACAGCAAGACAAAATATGTCCAAGGTGATATTTGGACATCTTTTGTCTTTGGAAATGGAAATTAATTGTAGTCATTTGTTTTCAGGTCGAAATGACGGGTAGTAGTATATTCGATTACATACACCATCAGGACCATACCGAAATAGCGGAGCAGTTAGGTTTAGGTTTATCCCAAGGCCAGAACCTTGCATCTCCTGGGAGTGGTTCGGAAGAAAGCAGTTCTACGGCAGGGACGAACAACCCTGACGGTAAGGGTAAGGAACAAACAACAACATTTTGAATATTCCAGTAGTTATTCAATATTTTGTTTTTTGGTTTGAACCGTACAATCTTTCGTTCCTCCCGGTATACGAGATTTGCCATTGCGGCATTCCACCGCACGGCAGTTGAGTTACACTTATGGAATAACAATTGAACACGTAGAAGTTTTGTCTCTTGCATTCTTAAACATCGCTTCCTGGCGGGTTCACTGCATGGTTATTTCTCCAACGAAACCATTCAGATCTATCTCGATTATTATTTTACTACCAGAAAGCGTACGTCATCGTTTCAAGTTTATTAAAATTCTAGGGATGAGAAACGCCATATCCAAAATTATTTCTTGTCGTCTATTGTTATTTCCATAGTCTCAAATAACTGTTCTTGTTTTTACGACATCATGGATTCATAATAGGTATATAATATTTTCTTTTAGTTTCAACTGTTATGTCGATAGCAACCAATCCTCCTTATAAAGGTTTAGATAGGGCGTTTTGTATTAGAATGAAATCGACCTTAACCAAAAGAGGCTGTCATTTCAAGTCGTCAGGGTATAGAGTACGTTATCCATATTCTCAGTAAAAAATAAAGTTAAAATAATGTTTTCATCCAGGTTGTATTAATGGTTTGTCGACTAAGGCCGCAATACATCTTTGCACACTCTCGCAAGTCTCAGCAGCCTCCCCTTCTGGGAATGGTAGCACTAGCCATAGCTTTACCTCCACCTAGTGTTCACGAAATTCGGCTAGAGAGCGACATGTTCGTAACGAGGATAAATTTTGACTTCAAAATTGCCCACTGCGAACCAAAAGTCATCGACCTCTTGGATTATTCCGCCGAAGAACTGACTGGTAGGAATTTATACACGTTGTGCCATGGTGAAGATGCCAATAAACTTAGGAAATGTCATATAGATCGTAAGTAATCTTGAACCTATATAGCTTCTGACTTACTAAAATTTGTATCAATATCATACTTATCCAAATTTTAGTTTGTTCGATTTCTTATTAATGTTATGTTTGTAGTAATAAACAAGGGCCAAGTACTGACACACTATTATAGAATAATGAACAAAAATGGAGGCTATACATGGATTCAAACTTGTGCCACTGTAGTTTGCAATACCAAAAATGCTGATGAACAAAATATAATTTGTGTAAATTATGTCATAAGGTAATAAAATTACTCTCGCGCCATGTATAAATTAATATTGATTTTTTTATCAAATCTTTAGCAGGAGGGAGTATGAAAATCTTATAATGGACTGCTGCCAGATGGAAGAGAGCGCTCATATGGTAAAAAGAGAGGAAGCAAGTAGTAATGACCCTGAAAATGGATCCCCAGATGCGGATCGAGGAGGTACGTTGGAGTACCTGCAGTGCTAGTAGAAGGTGCTTTTTTACGCCACATCTCAGTTTCTAACTGCAACTGGTACTCATCTCATTTTGTAAATCCAGAGAACTCTTGAACTCAACCAAATGGGGGTACCTATTTAATTATCATTAATAATAAAATTAGAGAAACCAAACTTTGTATAAACTCAAAAAGAGTCTATACAAGCGTTTAATTTTTTTCTGTATAAATTTTACTATACTGAGATGAGGTGAGACCAGAGATATAGAGATATGGAGAATAAATGTACAGTCTTAGCATCAAATAATTTTGGTATACAGACATATAATGCTTTACATTTTATTTTTTAATTTCAAATCGGTGAGTTTTATCAAAAAAACACAAGAGATAAAAAAGTTTCTAAATAAACTAAATTATCAAAATTAATTTTTTTTGCATGTGTTTGATAAGATTTTTCTTTAAATTTCATTAACAAGAATGATAGGGGTAGTTTATTTCAACCCCTTCCACTCATTTTAAAAAAGTGAAAAAATTACCAGAAAGTGTGTTTTCATAACAGTAATGCTTCCGTAAAATTTCATTAGTCTATCTCTTTTCGTTTTCAAGATAAAAAATAAAAACATTATTTTTCCGCCATCTTTGTACCGCGATATCTCCCTAATGGTTGACTTTTGACCCAACGTTTATAAAGCAAACTACCCTTTATTTTGAACAAGGCATTTTTTTTCGCATTTGTTTTGAAACACCCTGTATATACTCTTCGATGATTCCCTTATCTCTATTTTTCTCTGGGTTAAACAAACTTTGATTGAATTGAAATGTTTTATAAAATTGCTGTTTATCTTAATCGGCTCCGAATGGACAAGCCAGGAGGGAAAAAACAGAATCATATTTTTCTACATTTACTCTTCTGATATATTATATATTTCATACATTTCAAGAAACAGAAATCACACAAAAAACGTCAGTTTTAAAGCTGTAGTAGAAAGCTATATTTCCATCGAATTTTAACAAAACCAAGCATGTTTTTGGTTGATTTCTAGATGACAGAAATAGCGGAGGTCCACCAAACCCACCACCAGACCCGCCACAGGATATGGAAGATTCTACAGGCCATGGTTCCGATCCAACCACCATAACCAAAGACACAAGCGACTTAAGAACGCGGAGGTTGGATCCAACGAACTCCGTTGCGCAGCTACAAGGTACCGCTCCTCAGGTTGAACAAAGGAAAACAGCGACACCCGTCAGAAGGGCGGCTAAGAGAAAAAACACCTCCTCTGACGAGAATGACGAAGAAGAAGGTGCTAATCATAATCGAAATACTGTGATGAGTCCCGCAAGTTCATGTCATTCGACAACACCAGCCCATCCTATCGTTTCCACTTCAGAACCCACCGGAAATAGTCCAAAAAAAGTTGACGATGGAGGTATTTCCTTTTTTCTTTTTTAAAAATCAAATTTAGTTAAACTTATTTAGATAATTTTACAGGAGGGGCTACAGCTGGGGCATCTGTAAAGGATTTAGAGAACGCTATGTCGAAACATCTTCCAGCTTGTAAGTCTCCTACGCATCAGCCCACAGACTTCAGCACGGACGCACTTTTGAAACAACAACAGAGAACAACTATTCAGTGGATTGGAGCTCACCAACAGCTGCAGCAACAAGGACCCCTGCCTGCTTCAGCTCTGTTAAGGCAGCTCTACGCTAACAGGGAGAGTGTAATAAGGGCAAATGTGCATGGTATTACTAGTGCTGGAACTAGATCAAGTAGTACATCTGGTAAGAAATATATGATACGAAAAATATGAACAGTAATATTTTTTGTTTGCCAGGTTATTATCCTAGTGATAGTCAAGTTGGACCATTACCAACACCTCCAGGTAGTGAAGGTTCTTCTTCATACAGCGAACATCAGTTTCTGTTGTCCCAGCACCAAAACTATCCCACAGGGTACTCAATGGATTACCACTCCGCCATGACTCCTCCGTCCAGTGTTTCCCCAAGAGATAAGCACCAACAGCTGCATTCAGGAGTGACTTTCGACTCTCCTGTGCCCTACCAAGATGTCTTAAGGCAATACCCTGACAGTCCTTTACCTCTAAAACCCCAAGTATATTCCTATGTCGATCAACCGCAATTTTATCATCACGGGACTTCAAGTGCTGGCTTTCACTTGTACCATCCGAGTAAGGGCAGTGGAGCGCCATCAAATTGGTACTCACCATCATAGTGTCGTTAAAATAAACTTGAAACAGTGCTTGGGCTATATACGGACACTTTTTGTATCGTTGGGTTATTTTATTACAAAGATATCGCATAGCAGGTCTTGTGGTTAAGATTCATTTATTAATTTGACTGTATTTATGTATGTATTTTGTATACAGGCTAGTGTTAATTAATTATTAAATGGACATGTAAGGCTAAATGAGACAGAGTCCTGTAGTAAACTCTTGAGAATGTCACAGTATATTTACTGTATAGACAGTTATTATATAGTGTTCAATCGACTATTTTTAAACCAAAGAATACAATACAAAATAGCATGAATTAAAAGTTTGTAAAAGTATCTTCTGCCGCCACAGTCATATTTATATAATATTTTAGTAATAAAATTCTTAACAAATATGTAGGAAGCAAGAAAATATGTAGAGCAGAATTGATACTATATCTCAAATAAATTTATTTATCATGATAGGGTTTTACAGAGGCTACTAATAACTTTGCATGTCAATAAAAGTACAACAAATCTCATGCTATTTGGTATTAAGCAATTCAGTGCTATCACTGACTATATATGTGAATATATATCTGAGTTTTATATTATCATTCTTTTGGCTCCAAAATATACGATCTACGATTTTTCTAGGAGGATACAAAATTCAGTTAACCATTCATTTGATGCTAAATTAGCAGATTGGATCTGACCTAGGTAAATTCCGGACCGAAATGTTCAAATCTGTAGATTTATCATCTGCTTGAATGTAACTGGTAACTAAAGATATAGGGCTAAGTAGAATGAGAACATAGGCAAAATATTCATTCTCCTTAGCTGTAATGTATATCTAATATCTGAATCTAGCGCAAAAGAGTTAGGCTGAAACTATATTGTACTATGTAAATATTTAATTAGGAATATCTAGGTATAGATAGCTGTATGTATGTTATTTTTTGTTGGGCATTGATTAAAGAATTTTTATACATGTACTGGAAACTTGAGGAACGGCATACAAATTTGTTTTTATATTTAGTACAATTTGATTTGTGACGTTAAAAGTGACGATGCTCGACGACTATATCACTACGAAACGGTGCTGACAAATGTAATGTGATATTTTTTTAATTTTGTTAGTTTCTTGTTCCGTGTAATATGTTAAATTTATCACATGATGCTCAGTACAAAAATAAATTTGCGCTAATATACATGTTAACGTGCAATATCATTTTCGTATCCCTTAATTATTAGTAGTTATCTGTATATTTTAAAAATATTTGTTTTGGCAAGTTCTGTTTGCCTTTAAAACAGAAAACTAAGATTTAGATTCTACCTCGACATGACATGGTAACTAAATTATGTAGAAACCATTTTTGAGTTGGTCATTTGCAAAATTACAGTAGTCACTGTTTATTTATATTGTTCAATAAATTATTTACAAAACATGCATCTTTTATTTACACAATAAGTGCAAATAGGTACCGTATGATCAAAAAAAAACGGCGTCCAGTTGGCTTGGAAATGACGATCGATGACATTTCCCATATAATTTTACATATAAAATGACAGCGAACTTCATATCATAGCCATCGCTGACGCTTTTATTTTTCATTCATAAACCACTCTGGTGGAAATTGGGTGGAAACGAACCGATTTTTTTAGGGTATAGATACTTAATCTGTGGTAAACGGGGATGCATTGGAAAATTGGAATTTGATCTCCTCTAAATATCTGCCTTATTTAAAGCTAAAGGCATAGAAATAAAAGTGTAAAGCATAGAATAACTAACTGTATAAAGGCTCATGGTTGGGTATATCTACGGTATATATATTTGGTGACTATTTTCCATTAATATTAATTAATATTTATGTGTAATTTGTATGTATTAATTTTTTTGAGAGAATGTATTTTTCCAATTCGTTTCGAAACTTTTTTTTAAATTGTGTTTTACTAGTTGCCTATACATTGGTGAATTTTTAAATTAATTCCTTGATTGTGATTTAATAACTTTGCTGTATACAGATCAGAAAGTGAATAATAATAAAATAAAAATAGTTCTTGACAATTACGTTTTATTAACAGAAAAACAAATTACAAATATATAAAAGTTGTAAGTGTAATATAAACAATAACTTCATTTCAATATCTTTGGATTGCATACTTTGAAGATTCTTGGTAACATTTCGGTCATTGATGTAAAGACTGCCTGAGATATATCCTAAAAAAATAAGTTTTAGACCTATATATTGCGATAGAAATAATATCTTACATCTGGTAACATAAATTGTAAATTCTTCAATTCTGATCCACCCCAAGAAGCCATTTCAATCATAAAACCCTTAACACACTTAAATACTAATTCTGCTCGCTTTTCGCACCAGTTTATGGTCATCTCCTGCAAGAATAAACATTGAAATACACAATACAAAGAATTTTATTAATACCTTAATACCTCTGTCATTTCATATTGCAACAGTAAAGGAATGGTCAATGAAGTGATATCATTTGAACATGCTGTCTTCAGTATATGCCTCAATCCCAACACAACAGGATGTCTGCTATTAATATCACTACCTCTTAATGTATCATCTGTTACCATATGGAAAATAACATGAACTTGGGCCAAATTGGAATGTTTAGTCATATAAAAATCTCCAGTTTGTAATAATTCACTATTACTATTCCTTGGACTTCCAATCTGGGGATTTTTAAAGTACTGCTGAGCAACATTTGAAATTTTCTCCAACTGATCTTCAACATGGGAAAAATGGAATTCAGTTGTCCTCTGACATACTTCCTGGAAATCATGTGTGAGTCTTGATCCTATTTTATTATCAGTCATTAAAACCAATCCCGACAAATCATTAGAATATAATCCTAGAGCAGTTTGAAGAAGTTGTGGTGTTGGTTGAGAGCTGAAAAATTATATATTGTAAATTATATTGAGAGAAATATATTAAAATATACTAACAATCGTTCATTATCTTGTATAGTACACATATCCATGACATTGGCAGATAAAATTCTAATATTATGCATTTGCTTTAATTGGGAGCCCAAATGAATGGTAAAACTTTCTTCCATTAGTGGAGAATTTATCTGATGTATGCTCTCTGAACCAGAACTTTGAAAATCTCTATCAGCATTAGGAATAAAAGGTGAACTACAAATAAAAATGTCTCATAAAATTAAAAATAAATATTTCATGAAAAAAAGAAATATATTTTACCTCGGGGTGGGCAAAGAAGAATCTGCTTCATTTTGCTCAAGCATTTGCATGATCCACTCTCTATATTCTCTTCTCTGAGCTTCCTTTAATGTATCTAATTCACTACTAAGCTCTCCTTGCAATAAAGAATGAGTTTCATAATGTCTTGCTACCAGCTCATTAATTTTTAGTTCAGTCATGTCTTGTTCTAATCTATCAACAGCTTTATTCATCTCTTCAGTTTGACTAAAATAAGTATTTTTACAGTAGGTGTCTATGTAAATCTATTTGTAACTGTGTAAGCAGTTACCTATCTGAAAGATTCTTAATTAAAGTATTTTTCTCTTCAGTCTTTTGTCTAACTGTCTTTGAGTACATATGTTCTAACTGCAGCATTGTTTCTAAAGCGGGTGAATGCACTAATTTATGATAAGCCGTGGCAAATAACTCTTCATCAGATGCACAACGCTTTTCACCGAATTCTACAATCTCCTATAATAAAATAAATGTTAAATATAATTCACACATTTAAAAAGAAATTTGTAGTATTAACCTCTCTCATAACTTTTTCCCATTCTTTAGTAATACCATCTATGTTAATTTCTTGATCTTTTCTTTTCTTAATAATATCATCTGAGAGCTCTTTATAATAATCTCTTGTTCTATCATCTATAAAAGCCCTTAAATGTGCAGTTAAGTCTAAAAATGAATTAATTGAGTAAAAAGTTTTGGAAGGAAAGTATATTTACAGTACCCTTTTCTATATAAATTGGTAGACTATATTTGATTATCAAAATATGAGTTAATTCTTCAACTGAGTCATCATACGGAATTAAAATTGAGTATTCAAAACCATGTTGGTCGTTTGTATAGAGGTAATATTTTTGTTCTAGCATAATTTATTTATAAATTAATAAGAAAAATAAATATATTCAAAATCATAACCACAAAAATGTCAATAAACAAAAAAGTGAGGTTATAATATACTAGAGATTTAGAGATGTCTAAAATACATCGATGCATCGAAAACATCGATATTTCCATTTCGCAGCATCGCTTCTATATATTTTCTATTCACTTCAATATTCACTTATTTACTATTCGATATATCCAATGCATCGATGTATTTCATTCAATTTATCGAAATATTTTGTTGGCCTTGTTGGCTATAATTTACATTTCGGTATTATAGGATACTATAAGATAAGGATAGTTCGATTCCTATCTTCCTGCACTGTCAGTTTTTTTACATCATCTAGGGACCGAGTTGAAGTATGGTTGAAGCGTGGTTGAAGTTGGCGCTAAAGATTTTAGACAGTGACAGATGAGTGACAGTTATTTTTGCGTTTGACGGACGAGCGCACAGTGCGATGGAAGATAAATTTAGCGGGACAAAACCGTTTGGTGACAAATAAGTCAAAAAATGTGTACTGATAATAGAATAAATAGTAGACATTCCAATTGATATAAAAATGCATGAATATTCTTTGTATTTCGATACATTTTTATCAACCAAATTTGGTCGTTTTCTGCTCAGCAAGGCAGAGATCATACGAAAACAAAATATTTACAAGTGCTTATACATTTTATTCCAAAGCCAAATTATGTTGAAGATTGCCAAAGGTATGTACTTTTCTACTGTACGTATATTATTTGTTAAAATCCTTCGTGCCTTTGTTCTGCAGGTATCAACCTTTCACTTTTTTTCAAATATCGATATATTGAGTGATGTAGATCTTTTGAGTTACCAATAGTTACCAACACAGGTAGTCACAGTCACAGGAAGTTCAAGCTTACCAGGTGAATGCCCAAAAGTTTCATTTCAATTGGATATTATAAAAACAAAACAAAAACTCGTTAAAGGGTTAATTGAAGAGCATTCAAAAGAAGAATTGGGTTTTGCATGTACTATGAGCTTTAGGGCTAGTAAGAGTAAGGATGCTGCTGTAATTGTTGAAGCCTTAACTCCATCGAAAGGCACTGAGTTTAAAAAATTAATAGCTGCCCATACACGGAAAGGCCCGGGCTTCGGACTTGGTCTTGAGGCCGGGGCTTTCACCCAAATTACCATAGCGTGAACATATCCGCGGACTTTGCCTTTCACGCAAACCTATGGTATTTTGGGTTAAAGGCCGGACCCAAGGCCGAAGGCAGGCCCTTTCCGTGTATGGGCAGCTAATGAATGACACCAATAGTCAGTTCGGCAATTTTCCTCAAGACAAAAACATCCAAATGATATTCTAGTTAAATAAAGCATGACGATATGCTAAAGTCTTTTTTTACTTTCTGATAATTTATAATAAAACTAAATGATTATTACTAGTTTTAATAAAAGTTTAAAAAATTGTCTTAGAGACTTACTATATATGAATTTACAATTACCGAGTGTCAAAATTAAAATATCTATCTTATTTATTATTTTCAAAATAAAATAGAATTTTTTAAAATAAAATATACAGGGTGTCACAAGATTACAAAGTAATTAAAAAATAACTGCTAAAGAGTTTTTTGTAAGTATTTCACCTGATATCATAATTTTATGTATTTGGCAATAGTTTACAGTACTGTTTTTGTGTGTCATGTACGAATAATATCATAGTTTTATTATCTTGTATTTATTTATTTATTAATAAATAAATAAATTTAACCATATGGTTGCTATATATTATATATTAGACCAGTTGCTACGTTCTTAGATTTTAAGTCCCAAACATCGCTCCTGAGATTTTGTCCCGCTAGAATAACCATCCGCCTCACTGTGGAGCGCTGGTCCCTGCGTGACGTAAGCATCCACGGCCACTACGACACCACAATGGCCTGTGCTACACATTTTGACAATTTACATATTTATTATAAAAAATAATACCAAAACAGTAAATCAGCTAACAAAAGCTGTTTTTTTTTGCTTTTAAGTTATCTAAGTTATTTAAGTTATATTTGAAGTTACATTAAAAGAGGCCGCAAGTGAACTTTAAATTTTGAACTGACAAATATCATTTTCGGTCATTTATTGGTCGAGTCAAAAACGGTAAATAGACAGGATTGCTTAATTCCTTAAATAATACATAACACGTACTTTGGCCAAATTCAGAGGCCAAATTTCACTGTAGTTCGGTCCACTCGTTGGCATACGTGAATAATATTCAATTCCTATTTCACTTTTCCTCCCATATCAGCAAGGTCTGCTCCTGAATTGTTTACAGTTTTTAAACAGACTTTAACCGGTCTAATTTTTCCATAAAATCGTTAGTTTCGCGACATCAATTTTGACGTCATTGCAATATTTGCTGGCATGAGAAGAAGTGAAATGGGAAATGAATATATTGACGTATACAAACGAGTGGAAGTGAGACTCTTATCGAGACTCGTAATTATGCTTTAAAATTTGGCGATTTTACGTCTTATTCTTGGTCTTATTGGATAGTTTACAATTATTGGTCATGGTCATGGATTGCTACACAATGCTACACATTTTTATGGTCAAGTTCTGCACAATCAAAAATTTTCTTGTGGCAACCCTGACGACAGCGGCGAATTGACGCGATCGAACAGTCCCACAGAACAGCGTCTTTCTGTGAGTCCTTTAAGGTGCGTATTCATTATCCGAACGAACGAACGAGCGAATGAAAGTGCGGTATATTTAGACGAGGACCGAACGCATGCGGCCGTTCGTTCGTTCGGATAATGAATACGCACCTTTAAGCCCCGTTCTCAGAACAACGTCGTGTCGCGGGCGACACGACAAAAGAACCAATCAGATTTGTACAAAATTCAAACAGCTGTCAATTTTAAATTTAGTACAGCTCCCATTGGTTGTTTGAAATGTCAAACTGTGTCGCCCGCGACACGACGCAGTTCTGAGAACGGGGCTTTAGAATATATACAGTCCTTGCATCACGGCTACATTTCAAAGAAAATATCTACACTTACAAAAAATTACGCCTGCATATTTTTAACTTAATTATAACTTAAAACTTAGTTTAAAATAATTAAATGATCGATTTTACATATTATTTTTAGCATATTTTGACAGAAATAAATGGAAATTGAAACTAAAATCGATCGGCAACAGCATATGACGAAAATAAATATACATATAAAGCATTTTAGAACATTAGCATAAGTATAATAGAATATAGACGAAATTTCTTTATGATATTTGATATTTTATTTCATTTCTCTGGCTGAAAAAATCATTTTCCAAAACTATATAATGTTGCCTACAAACATTATTTCGACGGTTGAAAGGAGAAATGGCTAATACGCCACTTTTGTGAAAATTGAGTTATTTATACCTTCGAAATCAGCGAATTTTTCTGCGTCGATCTACTTAGGTTTCATCCTAAAAATCCTATGATTTGGCGCATAAACATTTTAAATTTTTAATAAATTACAAGAAAGATAATGTCTTAAGCGACAGAGTTTCAAAATAAAACAGACAAACAGGTCTTCTGTAAAGTTACGAAAGTGGCGTATTAGCAGTTTCTCCTTTCAACCGTCGATTTGATCATGGTTGTCAATTCTGTGCGATCTGAGCGATTGTTCTCGGAAACTGGACAACGAACCGATGAATCAGAAAAAAAACAGGCTTAAAGGAGACCGATTAAAAGTAAAATACTATTTTTACAAAGTTTAGACAAGAAGTACCTTGGGACTTGTAATAGTCCCAATAATTTTTGTAATATTGTCTTTTTCTGTTTTGTTGTTTGTTTAAAATGTCAATAAAAAGATAAAAGTCCAAGGAGAAAAATGTATGGAATACTACCGGCTACGATGATTTATGATGAACATTGAAAGTTCATTCTTCATTTGAAGAAAATGTAATAAAAGTTTTCGCAAATAAGAATACATACTAAAAGAATTGATCTTAATTTTAAAATTTAAGAGATACATTCATAGCTTTGTTTTTTTACCTAAATTTAGTTCTATTTTAAATTGGTTTGATTATTTTTTTAACCTGTTACATTTTTTGTTATATTTTATTTTTGTATCTTCAAAATTAAAGACTAATAAAAAAAAGGAAAAACTTTATTGTGTTGATAAAATTTTAATTTCAGTTACTTATTACATCCCATTGTATTGACGCCACGCTACGGCGCTGATGATATCTTCTATGATTTTTAAACATTTATATAACACAAAATAAATCTTAGTAAACAAATCAATATACCAACTTTCACAGGCGTTACTGATGTAGAATGTTTAGGAGGGGAGTTAATCACCGCGACCTTATAGATCTATTGTGTGTTCCCCTTTCTTGAGTTATAACTCATCATACAAGGTCTGTTCGTTTTCCTGTTATTATCGATTCTGAATCGTCCTAGAACTCTCCAGCGCATGCGCAAATGAAATAATGTCTTCATATTTCCTTCTGCGCATACGCATCACAATTCTAGGACGGTTCAGAATCGGTAATAACAGGAAAACGAAAAAAGCTACAGTCTCAGGGCTTTAACAAAGGCCAGCTCTCCATCCTCGACATCAGACGTACCAAAGTTCATGGCGCGAATGGTCGTCGTCTCGGCGCACTCAGTAATAAGGCGTTACTGATATATAATCACATAAATATAATGCTGATACTGATAAACCTATAATAAGTAGATCTTAACTTAGTTGTCTCTGATCTAAATAAGAAATACCTATAGTATAGCAAGATTTTTTATTTAGTTTATAACAAAGGGTTATAATAAAATATCTAATATATATTTTTTTGATGTGAAGTTTTATTTGGAATAATTTATAGAGTACACTTTGATTAAACTAAAGTAACATAATACAAACTTATATAATAGTGGGATTAACTGAATAATACCAACTAATATGAATAAACTTCGAGTCTCGGAGCACAGCTCAGAGTAAGTAATGTAATGTAAAGATTAACAGGACGAATACCAATAAGAAATTAAAAAGAAAATCCATATTGAAAAATATATGTTGTAAAGAAAACAAAATTATTACATATTTTTACTAATCATGGTCCAAACAATTATCTTCAATAATTTTTGCAAAATTTTGATTCCACCCTTGTACATGGTAGTAAAGGTCTGTGTATGGGTCTGATGACTCACGTTCAATTATTTTCATTAGGCTTATCAAACTAATAATCTTCTTCAAAATGTCAATTCTAGTTGAATTGTACTCCGTATCACAATCCAAAATTTTTCTTAAATCTTCTTCAAGAAGTACCAGTATAGGGGAATCAACCATTGCACTCGAAGACCACTGATGCTTTTCTATCAAACTGCTGATCTCGGACTGATAGTACTTTAGATGTTCCAAAGTAACTTCGTATGGAAATGCATTAGAATAATATAGATAGCAAACTAATTTCCGTAATGTTAGAACTCTTGTTATGTTCGTAGTAGTACTTTCCAGCTTCAATAGAGGATGAAAAGTGTGTCTTTTAAACATTTGTTTATTATGATCTGATTCTTCCCTGTGTTTCATGCGCTCGGAATCTGATAGCAACTGAAGACCACAAAAGTGGCAAAACAGACTTTTAACTTTACTAAAAGAAAAAATAGGTATATATATCGTTTATCAAAAATGTCTCCATACACTTAGCATCATTCCTGGTAAATCAAGCTTTCTAAATTTTGTTTCAGAGGTTTGGTTGTATATACTAAAGGAAAATGCTATATTTAAACTGAAAATACTGGTTTACTAACGAACTGACGTAAAGTTAGTTAATTATTCCACAAAAACAAAATAATCTCCAATAAAAAAGTCCATACATATTACTCAATTATTGTTGCTTATTGATTTATCATAAAGCAAGATAATAGCATCTTCTTTTAATTAATACAACCAATACGTTGAGAACTCTCATGTGTTTACCAAAAACAGGAAGTACATGGAGATACTTTTTTAATAGACTGTATAAGCATTCTAAATTATAATAAAAGTATGTGAAAGATGGGTAATGTGAATATGTGAATAAGGGCTTTGCCACTAAATATTCGATGGTCTAGTTTACAAATGTAAGTACAAAAATGTATGTTTTGAGTTATATGAATTTTAAAGTTTATAAGTTCGCCAAAATTTGCGTTTTTGATTATACTTATAAACAAATGGAAGAAAGCTCCCTGGCACCAACAAATTTGAATATTTTACTTACCACTAGTGTGCATAAGAAAATTTATGCCTAAATTATTTGTTAGTGAGTTCAACTCAGTTTTGCTAGAAAATGCACTTATAACATTTGTGTTATGTGTTCTAGACCATCGACTGTGTCGATGGTGGTTGATGGTGTCGATACTCTGGTCGATATATATTGATATATATGCATGCAATTAATTTACAATTTACCTCTGATGCGCCTGGGTTCGAATGTGTTCTTCCAGAGTGGAATCACATTTGCCGCAAAAAGTGCAAGAACTCTCTTCGGCCATTTCCATTTTAGATGCCATACTTTTAACAGCGGTAACTAACGTTATCGTTAATAAGAATTCTCTGTTCAAGTTCAACTGAAAACTGATAGAGTATAGAGAAAAGAAACTGTGAAAGAAACGTGGTATACCAGAAACGTAAATCACAGTTGATCACAGTCTGTCGCAGATGTGAATAAAAACCACAGATAAAACCTGTGATAATTTTTTTTTCCACTAAAGCCCCGTTCTCAGAACTGCGACTGTCGCCAGCGACACGACAAAAGAACCAATCAGATTTGTACAAAATTCAAACAGCTGTCAATTTTAAATTTAGTACAGCTCCCATTGGTCGTTTGAAGTGTCAATCAGTGTCGCTGTCGACACGACGCAGTTCTGAGAACGGGGCTTAAAGCAGCTGACTATAGTCTATAAAAAAGTACAGTCGTATAACCTATAAAAAACCTGATAAAAAATGTATTAGGGATGTAGGGATGTCCAAAAAACATCGATATTTCCGATTTCCGTTTCGATGCTGCTTCTATTCACTAGTTTCTACGTCCCGCTAGTCAACTCGTGTATCCTACAGTGTTGCCGTTTGCTGTTTCCTTATTTTATCTTATGGTGCGTTCCTTAAGGAGGGTCCACATTTAGTAACATGTTATATAACATTGCTATATAACAAGCTACATGTAACATGTTAAAAAACCGGGGGCCGTCCACATTATAGTTTTCGTAGTCATGAATCGTTTTGGCGAGAAAGAGGTTCAGCTCGCAGCAGCGGCGTGCGTAATTATTTTTGAACAAAGGGAAAGAAAGTCGAGAAAAAAAGCGGTTTTGAGTCCGCCATAGCCTACCAGCAAGATCTAGACACAGTTGAACTCAATTAGCTTAATTAGCTTATCTTTTCAATACTTGCCTCGGCTGTTTCTCGTGGTGTGTTTCTGTCTTTTAAAATCATTAATAACTTAAAAGCAAAAGCAAACCATTTTGAATTATCCACTTCGTCTAAACCATGCAGTACCTGATTTGCATTTCTTTTTGTTCCCTCTGGAACTGGCCTATTAGATAACGCATTTTTTTCTCAACTTTTTCTCTTTCCAAATACATACTATGAAATGAAAATCGCTGTCATTTTATATGGAAAATTATATGGGGAATGTCATCGATCGTCATGTCCAAGCCCACTAACCAGTAAATAAACAAACCAATATCAGCTCACCACACTCAAGAACGGTAAACTAAGAACGGTTAACTGTTCTTGCACCACACTAAGATTCTGTCGCGCACGTCCCTGATAATATGAGCGGCTAAACTAGAAATTTAACAAGTGTGGACACGTTGTTTCATGTTACAATAGCAATGTTGCACAACATCTTTTGATCTTTACCGACTACAAATGGATGACATCTAGCAAGTTATATAGCATCGAAATTTGCTAAATATAACTAAAAAATATGTAACATGTTATATAACTTTGCTATATAGCAGTGTTATATAGCAAGTGTGGACCGTCCTTTACAGGTACGAGCATTGAGCAGTGTCTAGTTCTAGCAGTCAACTATTAAGCTTGACCAATCAGGTTGGTTAGCGTGATTATTTGAAGGGTGTTAATACATTTGTGTTTATCAAAAACTCTAACGTGATTGGTCGGGCTTAATAGTTGCCTGCTAGGGCTAGACACAAGTCGAGCATTGGTATCTCCTTAGACAAGGAAAGAGAGGGGACGGCTAACACGCATATTCTCCCGTGATCGGTTTGTGAGGCCAAAATTCGATCGGCGGCCATACTTTGGTGACAAGACTTCGAGGAGACACCGAGCGAATTTTTATGTTTTTTTGTGACAACTGTTTTGTTTTAAATTTATAAACTGTATTGTTTAGTATGGTGAGATGTTCAGCGTATGGCTGCAAAGGCCGAAGCGAGAAGAAAGTGGCTGGAATTACATTTCACAGGTAAAAATTGATACACAACTTTTGTTATGTGGTCATAAAATGTACATTTTTTCATTATAGCAGTAAAAATATGTAAAATGCTTTTAATATGTTTTGTACCACATCCAAACCAAACTATTTTTTATAATTCCAAGTAGTATTTTCAATATCCTGTATTATAATTAATGTTTGAAACTCTAAATAATGCTACTCAGCATGGATTTCTCCAGTGGCGTAGGGAATTATAATCAGAGAAATACAATTTCTGCAATAAACATTTTTTTATATATTTTACATGTAAAAAAATGTATAAAGTATAAAGTATTGTTATCAAATATGTAAAATAATTGTAAACTATAAAAAAATTTAAAATTCTAGTGATAAAAAATCTATATGTATAGTTGTTATATAAAACTTAAATTTACCTGCCAAGATTTGCTGGGGGTGGACAAACTTGTGGTGGGCTACTTGTTACTTGTTACTACATATATTTTTTTAAATATTCTTTCAAAAAATTTCCTAATTTAAGTGTATAATAATAGTTGCAGTGAGTAATTAATAAAAATTTAAAAATAAATAAAATAACACAAAGTTTCTAGAATTGTTTTTTTTTGTGGAAAATTAGGATATTCTTATGATTGAAGGTAACAAATATTAAAAATTACATTATTCATTGAATCTGTACGCAAGTGTGAAGGGGAATGGCTAGATTCATTATTATACCGTATGGTCGAAAAAAAACGACGTCCAGTGGCTTGTAAATGACGATCGACTACATTTTCCATATAATTTTACATATAAAATGACAGCGATCTTCATTTCATAGCCATCGCTGACGCCGTCGTTTTTCGATGTCGTTTTGTATAGTTTTTATGTTATTTTATATGTAGAATATGTATATACACGTATAAAACATATGGTATTACATTATTTTTTATTTAATTATACATTATACACACAGGGCCTATTTTTCATCTGGTCGGGCCATAAGGCCCAAGCAAAAATTCGGGCCCTCTTTTCCAATAAAATTCAAAAATTCAAGAAATTATTAATATCACAACCTTTAACGGGCCCCCCAGACCACCGGGCCCAAGGCCCAGGCCTTATGGGCCTTATGGTAAAATAGGCCCTGTATACACATGTTAATAAATAAATAATTGTCTTGATAATCAGTCCACTGTGACTGTTAAATAAATTTTGCATTATCGACTTAGATATTCTAATATTATAAAGGTGGGACTATAAAATACAAAATTGTATATGCATTACTAAAAAATGAACGATATATTAGTTTATACGTTTTAATAAATATTTTGTACCGTCTAGGTACAAGCTAATTTCTGATGCTACGCCATTGGAGAATTTCGCGTGGTGACAACTTGCCTCACTTTCAGCTGCCGTGTTACCTGTCCCCCTGCTGTCCCCTCTCTTTCCTTGTCTAATGGTATCTCGGTAACCGTAATTCGAACATGGTTAAACTGGGGCAAAGTTGCGTTTTGCGATGTTCACCAAGATATATTATTATAATGGTAAATTCCTATATATATATTCATGCTTATGAATATATATATAGGAATAATATATATATTCTCAAGTATTTATATATATTGGTATAATTATATATTACCAATAAATTATATATTACCATAGAATTGAAAAACCTTTTCACTAGTGAAATAAAAAAAGTTGGTTTCCATTTGAAAAAAATGATTTTTGATAATTTTTTAATCGCTCAATTCCATGACAGTTACCGCCATTCCTATATGACATTTGAACCACTTAATTTCTGAAATAGATAGCCAGATGTCTTCTCTTTATGGCACAGTAGCTGTGGTAATCACTAAATTTGACGTTTAGGCTATACAAATTTTTTTGAAAAGTAGCTTTTTTCGTCCCAAGAACAGTTAACCTAATAGGACTGCTCATTCAGCCAAAAGTGTCCGCCAGGTGCATGCGAAAACTACTCGCTTTGTGACGTCATTGTAGCCCTTGTCATGGTTATTAGTCCTTATCCGGCAACCAATAATACACACACGTGCATTATTGGTTACCGAATGCAAAACGTTCATTATTTGGTTTATTTATTTAAACACCTTATATGTATGCAGTATAGAAAATTAACTGTATAAATCGTATTAAATACTCGGATAATGCATTTTTAAGAACAGCAGTTCCCAGCATCACCTTTTGCAAGCATTCTTTTTAGAGTACTTCCATATTTTGCTTTAAAATAATTAATAAACAAAATCGTGGGCACTTAGTATGCACTTTGTCACAATCCACAATACAAAATGAACGTATTTATACACTCTATAGCTTTAAAAACTTTAAAGAAACCTTTTTCACATTTAAAATTGACAAAATAATTAACTCAAAATTTCTTAGCTGTTATTTTTATAAGTTTACCATAGGCAACTAATATACACATTATCATGACAAGGCCACGAAGGCTTTGACAAGGGCTGCAATCTGCAATGACGTCACAACTGTCAGCTGAAGCGCGGGAAGAGGCGAACGTACGTCTTATGAGGATGAGCAATCCTATTAGTTTACCGTTCTTGTTTTCGTCCAATAATTTTAAATAGTTTTTTTTTCTCAAAAACGGTTAATGTTAGATGTTAGGTATAGAGTGTTTAACATCAATATTCAAAGAATTTTACAGAGAATTCAAGTATGAAATTAAAAATGGGGGCACCCATTTAAAATAAGAAAGTTGCTGTCAACTTCCGGTATATCCAGAAGTGCCGCCATATTGAAAATATTTTTAATCGATAGATCTCTTAGATAGATCTCGTTGTAAAACAATGATGCGCAAAAAATCTCCGGTCTAGATATTGTGGTTCTCTAGAAACTTCTAATGCACGCTCAGTCTGGGACACCCTGTATATATGTATCCCAAGAATACTTTTTTCTTGCTTAGATTAGACATTATAGATATACCGTATGATCGAGAAAAAATGGAGTCCAGTTGGCTTGGAAATGACGATCGTTGACATTTCCCATATAATTATATAAACTTATATATAAACGTATAAAATGACAGCGATCTTCATTTCATAGCCATCGCTGACGCCGTTTTTTTTTTCGATCGTGCGGTACTTTTATGTTATTTACTTAGATAAGTGAGAAATTAATTAAATCAATCTAAGCTTTTCAGAATAATAGTAAAACTAGAGTATAGTGAGCGGAATAATTGGGAAAGGAAATGAAATAAAAAAGAAAACAAAGGATTAAAAAACAATACTTTGTCATATATTTCTTCGGCGTAAGAAGACCCATCAATTTACAAAAATATCAAAACCACTCTCAAAATCTGGGGAGAGGACGCGCAGCGCCTCTACCCAGAAAACGGATTGCAGTAAATTTATACAATATATTTTTTTAGATAGGTATTTAAACTGTAGTGATCGCTATTTTGCTTATGGTTTAATTATATTCAAATTATTCAACAAATACAGTGTCTATTCAGTCGTTCTAGGAGAGATCTGGATATAAGGAAACAAAAAAAAAGAACAATCTTAGCACGACAGTATAGGGTGCTGTTTAGAACCTATATCGAATTTCTTTTATGCATTGTATAATTAAATATAATTATAGTATTATACAATATAATTACTATAATAAAGATTTTTTAAGTATATATTATGTATACTATAACTATGAAAACTACTACAAGCTAAGCATATTTTGCAGTTTCTTGGGATAGATAAAATTACATAGAGGCTAGGTAGGTAGTTAAATAAAATTTAATATTTATATATATGCGTGATTATATTTGAATTATGATTTAACGTTTACCTTTATGAAAATATTTGTAGCATTTTTTAATTAGTTTCTTAAATTATATTACAAGTATTTTTTGGAACAAACTTTACAATTTTTAGAGCGAAAAATCCAACAAAGGTAACAAGGAATAAAAAAGCCTTTTCACAAAAATATTATATTTGATCCTGAAATGGAACAGTAATACCTTAAATATTAGGTTTATTATTCACCTCTCTTTAATTTAAAGCTCAAGACCTTTTATTTTATAAATAAAAGCACATTGTAATAAGACAGACAATAAAAGTTATGTATATATTAGGTAGACGAGTTGCACTCGAATATATTCCGAACATGTCCGATTCACCCCATATACGTCTGTGACCATCGCTGTTTCACGGCCAAAGGCGGAATTCGGGCTAGCTTTATACATCAGTTTATATTATAAAATAACAATTATAACAAATTAACGATTCAATATTTTTACCATTAAAATTACAGATAACAACATTCAACTCAAATGCCACCTCACAAATATTTGGCATTAATAGGAGCTTCGTCCAACATGTCGAGGGCGCCGAGTCACTGGAGGAATCTGCGCGAGCTGCTGTGACTCGCGTCACCGACACTTGAGTCTATTTGCCTTCGGGTTACTCGGTCTACTTTGGTAACACCCCTTTAAGAACTATTTCCTAGTAAAACGTGAGGTCAGGAAAATCTTTTTGTTTCTTCTTGGAATTGTACTAGATTATCCTTCGGTCCAGAGGTCCGTCGAGGCTCGACGGACCACGGACCCGGCCGATAATGACTTAAGAGACTACAGACGAGAGCAGGACAACGTCCCTGTCAGAGGGTGAGTGGACAAAGGCGCAGTCCCGCGGTGGTGGGCGAAGACAAACTGCTTGCGAGGTGAGCGCCGCAAGAAGCGAAAAGCCCCAAGATACGACAAGCTCCGTTACTAGGCCGCTAAACAGAAGGGAGAATCGTATCATGGGGCGGTCACCGCCAACCACTGGTCTCGCAGAGGACAAGCTTATTCCGATACGGAGTGTATATATATTTATGTATGTATATATGTATAAGTATGTGCGTGTGACAAGCCGCGGTGGTCAGGCTCCTCCGTCATACACGAATACACTAGAAATCGCAAGTATCACTCTATATCTATCACATATCTACCTTAAAACTGCGACGCTCCAAAAAAAGATAGGTCCTAAACAAGATCAAGTCGAGGAATTGGATTAACACCTTTGGTTAAATTTTCTAGATAGATACATGGACTATTTATTGAATTAGATTGAATCCCTTACCGAAAATCATTTTGTGTAACCCGGTAGAACATTTTTCATTCGTAACGATTGAAAGTAAGTGTTGTTGGCTTGAGGAGCTTAAAACAATTCAAAAATACAACGGGTGTTGTTGCAATTCCAAAATCCGCTTGCTAATTCCGTCGCTACCTGTCTCGTAGGCTTGCCAGTAGACACTTCATTATGTTAAGTTCTATGTATATTACAAATAAAACGGAGTACTACAAACAAAATAAACGAGTTAGTATAAAATACAAAACCATATTAGGTTTAAGCAACAGCATCGCCTAAACGTAGCGCGCAGTTGTTGCGAAACAGAACAACTGCGTGCTTCGGAAGTCTCATAAATTTAATTTTAATAATTTATTTCTTTCTAATCTATCTACATAACTGTATAATTTAGACCTAGGTAATAATAGATTTCAACTGGGGAGAGGCCGTAATTTAGTGCTTAACAAACAATTGCGACTAAGTACAAAATTACATATTTCAAGACTGTCCGTTAAACCTGTTTTTTCTTCATTTTATTTCAACGACCCAACCCGAAAATGCCTCTATAAGACACACTTCCAAAAATCTGATTCTCTTTTGTTATATCTACTGGGAGTCACTTTTAAGTACTTTTAGTTTCCTACCATCTAATTTTATAATCTACATATTTATTTTAAGTATTATGATAATTACATTACAAAAACATTCCCAGAGCGTTTCTTAAGTCTAGTGCCTACAGTTCATTTATTATTGTATACAGTGGTTTGCTTCTGCGATCGGATCAGGCATTTCAACGTTAGAAACTAAGTCGAGTGAGGTAAAGCACTGTATACGACTGATGGGAGCGTTGACTAAGCAAGGAGATAGGAAAACGACTTGAGTCAGAAGGAACTATAGATCATGTAAACTAACCTTCATAACTTGTGTTACAAGAATATATATATATCTTACTCTCATGAATTATGCATACTTGATTATATATTCTAAAATAAATAAAAAATAATAATATTAAAAAATTTTAATTAATAAAGTTCACCAAATAATTTGGCACAGTCATATTACAAGACATTTGATACTAAGGCTTAATCTATCGGCATATTCCAGATATTTTTTAATTGGTGCAAACAATAGATTATTATAGAAACCAGAATCTTTATTGTTGGTTGAATATATTCTTTGTTCATAACTATGTATTCACAAAGTTTTAATTAACAAGTCTGACCAATTGATAAAAGAAGTAATCTTCATCTGGGATGTGAGAGATATAAAAAGCATAAAGTGAGCTGTTTAAAAAGATAGATGTCTCGATGTTGGTTTATATGATCTGAGAAAGGAACAGGCACGCAAAAACTGGGCCGAAGGACAGTCGAGAGAACGATCTAGGTGCGTGAATGATTACCGCCTCTCTCCGCTTTGGCAGATAAGTGCTACGGGCACGCTCGAAGCCCCGATGGAAGCGGGTTGCGAGGAGGCCCGCGTACGAGGACGACCAAATGCTTCGGTTGGGTAAGAAAAAGAGTCCCGCGAAAGGCTGCGAATTGGTGCGGGGTGCGGATCCCCGTCCCGCATAGGCACCTGGCTGGGGCGGCCTAGCCCCACTTATTGCTTAGTCCCTGGCGCACGCGCGGCGCCTCCGCACTCGACAGGTACTGGTGAGAGCCGCTGGCGCAGCGCGGCGCGCGGCGCACGACGTCACGACTGCTGCGTGGGTTAGGTACGAGTGGAGCTGCGCATGGGGCCCGTCGGCGGCTAGACCGCCGTTTCCGTGTGGCTGTGGGAGGACAGTCGTTCCACGTCGATCTCCGGGATGGTCAGCTCGTCGGGGATGTTGTCCGCATATTCTATGGAAGAAGTTTGCGACAACCTCTTAGAGAGGGAGGTTTGCTTGCGGAGCACCTCGGCTAGGGAAGCATTGCTGTGCTCGCCGTATCGAGCGTCTAGGCCCTGTCGGAAAGCATTAACTACTCGGATCTGAAATTAACAGAAAACACCAAAACGAAAAGAATTAAAATAGGATCATTCCGGGTCGTGTGGCGAGCTGTTAGCACATTCTAGAGAACAAATCGTGCAGTTATTTATTGTCAAGCTCCATGATTGGTTTCTCCACGATAATGCCCGTCTAAACGGTTTTTATTTTCTCAAATATCTAAAATTCTTAAGTATTTACCTAAGACCAACCAGTATACAGGTGTATATGCCTAGTACGCAATCTTTACAAATATTAAATATATTTGCGTCTTCCTTACACAAAGCTACGCAAGTATTGTCTAATAATATAGCATACTCACATTTCACACATTGTTGCTGGGGACTGACGATTTTATACAAAAATTAACAATTTTATTGATAAAAAGACGCTTTCCTGCACTACAGCTTTGTAAAAAATCTTTAGTTCTAAAAATAATTCAATTTTGAAATGCTATTTAAATTTCCACGCTAAAACATATTCCTGCGCAGCCTTGTGTAATAACGGTCTTGCTGTTATTAGTATTTTTTATAATTAACTACATTTACCACCTATTCCTTTTATTTATTTTTTGATGAATATGCTACAGAAGTTGATTATATTTATAGGTATGTTTCTGTTATATTTTTTTTTCTAAAGTAATAATATTCAGGGTATTGTATAATGGTACCTCTCAAACTATAAAAACAAAATATGTTTACAAACAGCTGAATATTAAATTCATTACAATTCAACTACAACAAGTCATTTCGTCCTAAAAATCAAGCGATATTCGAAAACCAAAATACTGATTGGTCGATGACTAAAAGCGGTTGAAGCAAGCCGTCGAGTTAGCATGAAAGGTCCTCTACAGACTAATTAGCTAATACAGAATGCAACTTAAATCTCTAAAAGTAAAAAGAAAAATGGTAGGCTAACATCAGTTGCGATTATTTACAAGTCAGATCGTGTCTGATAGTTCTTACGTAAAGGTTAGTGGCGAGGTATGGCCATCGACGACTTGCCCTAAATGGCGGATCTACATTATTCTAAACACTTATTTAAGAGAATATTAATCTACTTTGCCTAATAACACATACACACAATCTGTACAAATACCAATACCTAAGAATTTTTTTGTTTTAGTTTAGTTAAGAAAAATGTTATATATATAAAGAGGGCAGTTTTCTAGGAAGAGATATTTTCTAAAACGTACTTACCAAAATACATTTTCTTTGGGATTTTTACTTTCTAGAAGAGTTCTAACTGAAACTCGGGCATTAAACAATTACATAAAAGGATTGGGTTCAGTCAAAATTTCGACCAGTAAGAGTTTTAATATATTTATATTTACAAATTAAAAATTTTACTGACGGTCCCCATTAATAATAAAAGCATAGGATTTTATATCGTGCTACAGACAATTTCCTTTACAGAAGGTAATGTTAGCGAGGTTAAGTACGTGTGAATTATGCCTAGCTTAGATATACCCATCTTCTGTTAAAATGTAGCAGTAAAATGAGAATATATGGGAAACATACACTGTGCAGTGATATCGTGCATTAAACAGAAACCTATTTAAGAAGATGGATACACAAACTTTAATGATATCTACATGGTAGCTTGAAAAAAAAACGACTATATTTGGGGAATGAGTAAAATATTGTGTATATAGAGGAGAACCCACTCTTGGAGCAAAAAAGATAGATTTTAATCATACTTTTAGCTTGAAAAGAAAATGTAGAACTTACAGGCTAAAATCTACCTTATTTTAAATACAATAAACATGCAATCTTCATATATACATGCCACACGATTAGCTGTGGCTTGCATACATACATGTGAAATAGGCTGTTCGACAGTGTGTGTACTGCCACGTCAGCAAATATAGTGACACATGCCGTGATTAGACATTTTGAGGCTGAGATACAAAGCTGTTGTAACTAAAAAGCTGCCTCCAGTCAACTTCAACATATATATGGAAGGAATAAGATGGAGTATAGGTAGAAGGTGTTGACGTTGATGAGGTTTGTCAACATTTATAATGCACTCTAACATACTTGTCTGACTTATCTACACTTATTTTTTCCACTGGCTTTTTTTAGTTTGCAAATCAAAAGAAACTTGACAGCGTCAGAGAAATATATTAGAGCGGTGGGAAACATTAATTGTTTTTTGTTTTTTAATGATGTGAGCTGTCGAGTCCGAAAAAAATAAACAAGACAGCAGGCTATAGTTATTTGAACTGCAATGTTAACATCGCAATTGGTCGCGAGTGATTAAATCAGGATAAAAACATTGAACTTGCAATTTCCACAAAAACACAGTTTTAACTGTCTGAGCACCACTTAACAACACACGAATAACAATATTTATACATACAGTTTTTACCAGATATTTCTTAGATTGCTTACTTGACTTTGCCCCACCTGTATGTATGTATATATGTGGGTATTAGTAAACACACCAAAACTCTCATAAATAAAACTATTACGATAAAACACACATAATAACGAAAACAATAATAAAAAAGGCCACTTAAACACAACTTGGCATTTAGTCAAAAAAATAAAATCTGTTAATAGATTTATAGGTTTTTATTTTAAAAAAATTATCGCAACTGTGTTAAAACAAAAACTAAGTACACTTTCTCAATAGAGTATGGCAACGTCACATGGATGAAGAAACCTTGGGGGCATCCCATATCCGAATGTGCGTCTCCATACAAAAATAATTGTGTAAAATTATACAATACCAAAAAAACAAATTTATCGGAAACAATTTTATACAAATAAATAGAAGCCTCTACAGTAAATTTAACAAACAACACTATAACTATGTGCAATGAGGCCAATTCGGCCAATTTTAAAAAGCATCAGGCGCTAAGAATATAATAATCGAGATTAAACTTTTAGTTTTATTATTCGAGGCTATACGAAAAATACTTTTTATGTTACCAGGCAAGCGAAAAACATTTAGCCTATGTTTTACCGTAGTTACTTTACTGTTAAAAATCTACATTACTTTTTTTGAACAAGTTAACATTGTATGTCTCTAACAATTATTATTTCTATATACATTAAAATCACTCAACAGTTTGGCTTGATGTTGGGTAGGCTAAAAATGTTCCATTTTTATTTTTTCTCAGCTTTCTTGAATTTAATCAAAAAGAAGTGACACAAAGAAAACATTCTTCTTGTTAAGACTGTCTATATAGATTAGGCCGACCATGAATAAAATTAAGTACTGGAAATAAGTGTTTAGGCGGTTTTATTGAAAAAATATGAGGTTGAAAATATCAAGAAAGTCGAGGAAAATAAAAATTATTTTTTTGGCCGTTCACCTGATACAATTTTTTTGAACATAAACTTTTCTGGCTTTATATTTACATTATTTATACCAACAATTAAAGATATTGGCTCTTAATAAGTAGTTTTTCCTTAGCTAATAAAAAGTGTCGAAACCAAAAGGAAAAGATATAAATAAGGGGTGTTGAGAAAGGTAAAATTGGAGAGACAATACATATTGAACCGCGAATCTGCCTGGTCGACGGTAATTTGAACAAATAAAATTTGATCATTCGGCCGAGCTATTTGTCGATTTGAGCGATCTTATGCATCTGTGAACTAAACGTTGTTAACCAACGGAAATAAACTAACCAAAAATCGAACAAAGGGTTCATGCGGCATGCTAAATCAAAACTAAAAAACTAAATAAAAATAAAACCAAACCACTACAAAAAACGGAAAAGGCTAAAAAGTACTTCACTGCTTCAACATTGGCCAAGGCTCCGAAGTAGTACCGAAGCTCCTGAAGAAATCGCTTTGAGAGTGCCTTTACAGCGCAATATGAAGCAGTGGAAGCGGCTGCACATTAAAAATATACAAACAAGGGCGAGAGCGCATACGAATTACACAGCAGACAGAAAAGATGTAGGAAAAGCAGCTTACAGCTTGGTCAGTTGAGCTCTTGCTGTATGGAACTGGAATCAAACGTTCTTGTAATTCACCACCTATCACCTTCAAGAGTAATAAAGGGCAACATTAAAGAGTGATTCGACAGACAGTGATAGACACAAAACAATAAAAGATAGTGCACAGAATAATAGACGCTACTAAGTAAACCTGAAATAAGTCTGTAAAAAAAACAGCGCTATATATACAGGGTCATAGTTTTGGTAAAGCCTACATACTTGCCCTGAAAAATTCCAATTTCCATTACCCTATCGCTATTTTAATCTAATCTTTCCACAACAAAAAGACAGTGTTCTCCATTTTTATCGCGTTCAATATATAAAATCACCTCCTACGAGCAAAAACACTTCTTTTTGTTCACAGAATTTCAAAAAAACATGCAATATTTAAGCTACATACCAAATTGATTTCAAATGGATTATTTTCACAAGGTTATAAGCTTCATATTTAGGAAAAAAAATTTCGGGACAAAATGCACCTTACCAAATCTACGGGTTTATATTTTTTACAACCCTTTTAGTAATTAACAAAGAAACCTACCATTATATCATTCCAAGTTCTTAAATTTTATCGACTTACAACTATAATTAATATGAAAGGAGTTAAGGACCTAATACGATATTTCAGAGTAATATAAATATCGTCACAAAGACAGGCTTAATATTTACAAATTTGGAAGACGAAGATGGATCTACGAAGAGGGTTGTAAAGAAATAAAACAAAACGAATAGAAATTCATCCTGTATATTGACTAAATTGGAGAAATAAGAAGTTAACAAGCCTAGTCGCTGTATTTTTTGCAATAAGAAAACGTGGAGGCTACTCAGGTATGCTTAATGATGTAAAGGGTAATATTACCGGTAATTTTGGTAATATTACCGGTAATTTTGGTAATATTACCGGTAATTTTGGTAATATTACCGCAAAATCGGTAACACTGGAAATGTTTATATATTTTTTCCGCTCTACTCTTTTCCTTTTTTTTTTTGTCAAAACAAGATGGGGCTGCTGTTTCTTGTCTAAAAAACGTTTTGGACACTCATTAAAAAGCTTTGTAGTTGATGATTATAATAGCCCAGATATTTATGATGTTCTTTCACCAAACACAGTAAGCCTTCTGCTTCGAAACGAATTTTGGATACAAATACAAGCAACTTATGACTTGTTTAAGCCAATCTCTAATTGCATAATTTAGGGGGGGGGCAGATAAAAAGTAATGTAGAATATGCTTTTTAGGGCACCATTTTTAACCCAAAAGCCTAATATTTAACGCAATTTATAGATTTTAGGGGCGGCCTTGGCCCCATGGGCCCCCCTCTGTATCCGCCACTGATGTTGGCTATAGTCAATTTAAATTTACTATCGTAAACAGCCGTAACGGAAAGAATCTTCAGTTCTTACGGATTTGTCTAGAAGAAACAATCTTACCGTGGAAAGGGCCGAAAAACTTACTTATACAGGGTGTTTCAAAAAACATGTGCCATCTCTCGTGGGGAGATTCCTCACGTAAAAATAACATTTATTTTTCATATCAATGTAGGTCCGATTCTGCTTTGTTTCGTAGCTACAGGGTGTTAAAACTTTAATAATTTTTCGATTTAATATAATTTTCTTTTAAGTACTTTTTGTGATTCAAACGAAAAATTTTGAGGGTATAAGTTACTATAAGTGCTACATATTTTAATGCTAAAAAAGTGTCGATAAATTCATCAGGGACGTGCACATGTGTTATCAGGGAATAGTTTTCAAAAAAAAAAAAACATGTGCGCCACTGACTTTCTTTCTTTTGATATCAAAATTGTATAGGCTGTATAATGCCAATTAAAAGTTATCTCTTGATATTTTGTCGAATTCGGCTTCCTTGATAAGATAAACGCAATTTTATTAATCACAATTAATAAAATTAAAATAAAAATGAAACTAATAAATTGTATATTTTAGCTAATTTATTATTAAATATTATTACTATTAGTTATTATTACTATTAGTCGAACATACAGCAATTTCAAATAAAAAATTATGGTATTTAAGATAATTACCAAAAACCTAATTTTAAAAAATTTTAACATCCTGTAACTCTAAAACTATGCATTTCCATACCCATGTTTATAGGAACTTTTCTTCATATTTTTTGATGAGGAATCAATGAGTACTTATTTAAAACTTTCGCAAGTTAATGCTATTAAATTTTTTTAAAGGTTGCTATTAGACTTGGATCAAGGCAAATTAAAAAAATTGCGTTTATCTCATCAAGGAGGCCGAAATCGACAAAATATCAAGAGACAACTTTTAATCGGCATTAAATTGCTTACACTATTTCGCCAACAAGTTAAAAAAAGTTAGTGGCGTACATTTTTTTTTAGAAAAATATTCCAGTGATAACCCATATGCACGCCGTTGTCGTATTTATAGTACTTGGAAAGAAAATTATAATAAATCGAAAAAATATTAAGATTTTAATACCTGTAGCTAAGAAAAAAAGCAGAATCGAACCTATGTTGATATGAAAAATAAATCTTATTGTTACGTCAGGAATCTCCCCACGAGAGATGGCACATGTTTTTTGAAAAACCCTGTATTGCCCAAAATTATAATTTACTAAATGGAGAACATCCAAGAATGGTAGAGGCTGTTGAGAAAGAAATGGAAGAAGATATCGATTTCGAAGTAACTCAATTAACGAAAGAGAAAGAAGAAACATATAAGATTAAGGATGATTTACCATTATCCACTCTATCACGTACTATAACATAGGCCACTCTGACTAGCTTAAAAACGTTCTTGTCTTTTTTGTAATGTTTTTACTGTTTTGAAATAAAAAAAATAATATTATTTACAAAGCTGTTTTTTATAAATTACTAATGTTACCGTAATATTACCGATTTATAAATTACCGGTAATTTTACATCACTAGGTATGCTTACACGTGATCTATGAAAATGTGTTCGAAAAAAAAACAGACACACGATTGCTCAAACGTGTGTACTTTTGCTTGGCTCAGTGCCGAATATTAAGAACAGAGCATTTCGAGCATTGTGAGGTTCCAAAAGCATACCCCTACTGGTCTGCGTGACTGAGAGTTGTTGTAGAACAGATAAAAATTGATAGATTCTCATTCGAATTAAAAGAGTTTCAAATATTTGTAGGAGATACCTTTGCGAACGCAAACACTCACAGAAAATGTAATCAAAAAATTAAAAATTTAAATGGTTCAACTAAGAGTATCAGTTATGTCTCCATAAATGAATATGAGTGCAGCAGCGTGTTTAATAAATGCTTTCAATAGAAGAAGGTGTAATAACTAAGCCTATCTAATCAAAAAATATTCTATAATTTGACCTGCTAAATTTCATGAGACATACAGAGTGGTCCGAATTGCATTCGGCAGCATATTCTGCAGAAGAAAAAATAAGTAAAAAAGTTCGTATAAATGTATGTCCTAAAATGCTTCGTTTCGGAGATACAGGGTGTAGAAGTTTCATTTTTATTTCGTTTTTTTTTCAAATAATTTCTGAACTAACGTCGATATTTGGATGAAAATCGGTGTCTGGTAGTTTTTCGACATGAGGAATTTTATTTCGATGTTAATATAATGTCTCTTACTCATAGGGGGCACCACTTCCATGTTTTTTAACTGATTCGAAAAGCTTCTCGTCCTTATCTGTATTAAACTATTGACTCAAAAATTATATTTTCCGTAATTTTTTGCGTAAAAAATGCCTCTGTATAATATATAATTTTTGTAAAATAATTCCGATTTCAAATATCTTGAGACCCATTACTCGTAGCGATTTTTACGGACGGAAATGTATACTTTTTCACTTAGCAGTGTAATACAGGTAAGGGCAAAAAGTTATTACTCTTCCAAACAACTAAAAAATATGTAGGTGGCGCCCTCGACAAGTAGGAGTCATACTCACATCGAAATCGAATTTCTCATATCAAAAAACACACAGACACAAGTATCGATGTTAGCTCAAAAATTATCTGGAAAAAAACGAAATAAACATCAAACTTCTACACCCTGTATCTCCGAAACGAAGCATTTTAGGACATAAATTTATACGGACTTTTTTACTTATTTTTATCTGCAGAATATTCTGCCGAAGTTTTTCCGAATATAATTCGGACCACCCTGTATATTATAGAGTCTATCTTAATGACAGGGTTCCATTAATTTATACAGAGGTAGTTGAAAGGAGACCTGCATTATCCAGTCTCGTTTCTATGGGATCTGTTCCCCGATAGAAGGAAAAAAACATATAAGAGGTAAATTGTATATATTTGAGGGAAAAAAGATAACAAAGAAAATATGTAAAAATGTTAAAGGTCCTTATATAAATGAAAATATCGAAAATATTAAGTAAATGTAGCCTGCTGACCCACAGCCCAGCGCAGCACATAGAAATTTCGGTTTCTCTAATAATTACAATATTAATGAGGTATGAAGGCTTCCCGATTTCATATATATGTCGTTGGCCGTCTTTAACACACAATACAGTTGACTCGCAAATAGTGTGCATGCGCTAAACAAGTTCAAAAATAAAAAATATCATTTGTTTCCATTACCACTAACCTGAGTTACTAACTCTAATATGCTATACATACAGCTAGTCTACATAAAGACGAAATATTCATATGTACAAAATAATACATTGTAGTAATGGTCGGTCAAAGTTTTTGTCTACTTATAGTGCTAAGCTAAAAAATCTCTTCTAGTTAAAATACCGAGTTTCTACCCAGAGAACCTTCCTGTACGATTTTTTAGACCCACTCTTACACTTCCATTCTAAAAAAAACATCTCATCTATCTAGAAATTGTCTATATTCGTTATTTAGTAAAAAAATACAAAAAATATATTTAATAGTCAAATATTGAAAGAAAAAAAAACTGACAGTAGTTCTAAAAAATCGTATAATCAAAATTTGACTGGGTTGTTGTGGCACTTTGACTAGGTTAAGGAAATCGGTTAACGACGCAATGATAAGGATAAAAACGTAATGGGAAGGAAGAAAGGCTTGCTAAAAAACAAAAAAAAAATAAC